CATGGCGCGCAAACGCGTTGTTATTCGTAACGTGTTGAACGATCGCTTGGTACTATCTACTATACCACAACTAACTCTCATAAAACGCCTGACAGTATGCCCAAAAACAGAGTAATTTTCGCCTTATCTGAGCAGTGTGAAAACCGCCGCGCCAGCATTATGCTTTTTCCTGTGATGGCTCGATACTGCCTCTCAAGCCGCCTCATCATCCTTTAGCTTGTCCGTGTTAGTATAAAATATCTGTTTCACCGTAGTATTAATCCTCGTGGCCGGCAAAAGTTGAATATCAACCGGAATATTATCATAGAAACGTATTATAATATTGCATTTAAATGAATTCGTGACATTGTGCAGACGACTGTCAAGAATAGCTAGTTTATTTTTAACCGACTTGAAAAAAGGAGGAGGTTCTCAATTCGACTGTATGGGTTTTTTTATTTGTATGTATGTTACGCGATAACTCCGGTATTTGTGATCCGATTTTCATGATTCTTTTTTTGTTGGAAATAGGGTACCTCCACAGTGGTCCCATTTAATTTGAAGAATACCATCCACCTCTAAGGGTGGATGGATTAATTTTTATAAATAGCGCCTAAATTTTATTACAAGGAGCAATTATTTTAATGGTGGATTTTGCTATTCTCCAATTCAAGGCGTTTTTCTCTCTCAATATACTTTGAGTAGTGAGAACCGATATTTATTATCTCCTGTGCCAAGTCCCGTATAGTGGCGAACTAGGGGATGAATCCGGGTTTGCGCATTTTCTGGTAACCGATTTCAATGAAACTTGGTAATTATATGTAATTCCGGGTACTTTTGTGGTTGGTTTTTTTTAGTACTCTGTACTGAAATTATGTAATTAGATGTTTTGCTGTTCTTCCCCACACCACCGAATAGAACAGCCATTGTTAGAGATATTATCTTTATTACAATAAATACAGAATATTTTTGGAATATACGGAGACGTACACACAGGTCAGTAGTTGGTCTGTCTTTATTTCAGTGCAAACGAGAGTTGATATTTATAAGTGATGTATCACTGATTAGTTACCAGGCATGTATGGCCCTTATTTCGTCTCTATTTCTGGTTGTATACTCGGTGGGGTCAAGTTATCGAGTTGTTGAAATTCTCCTGTTTTTGTTAAAGATCTTTGTATTTCGTGACAGTGACATCTAGTGAAAGATTTTAGAACCTTCTTCACCGCTTATTCATCATATAAATCATAAGAAAAAGACTATTCGGGGTATTTCCCAAAAATCTCAATAATAAATACTACATAATTTCCTAAAAAAGTTTGTTCCACTAGTTTGTTCCACGTATTGACTAGAAAGGTGTTTATTATCCATCAATCACTCCCCACTTGCGAATGGCGTTATCTTTTATTTACGTTAGATTGACTCAGTTGAAGGTTTATTTTTTACCTTGACACTGTTTATGACAATTCATTCAATCATTTGGCACATTAAAACATGAATCAGGTTGTCTAAACGCACATAGTACTCTCTTTTAGTAACAACAACAAGTACTGCCACCTTACCTATGTCTGCCGCCAAGCACTAATGCTTAACTGTTTACATTGTAGGCACTGGATGTGCAGGCTTTGAGTTCGAACCCAGATAGGACCAATTTGGAAAATGAACTTTCCTAAATTGGTTCTGGTGTGGGCATTCTAGTGCCCCAGAGTTCCATTGAGACCAGGCAATTGGTGTGGCTGTCTGGCACATATTATGGGACTTGTCAACTTATGTCTCAGGGTGACAGGCGCACTGGCAGTGCCGCTCAGATCTTTGCGATTTAAAGCAACGGGTGGCTTTGCAACTGTTATGTATATGCGTGTCGCTTGCCACCAGGCGCACGTCTTTTTTGTCCCGTTACTTGGTCTCATAAAAAACTGGTGAGTAGCGTACTCTGAAAAACCGCTTAACAATAAAAAGCGCATTTAGCCTCTTAAATGTTGTCTTTGAATCCTGATTGCAGGATTCAAACACATTTCAGTGCTTTGTCGCAAAGATATGATTGATATATCGTAATTAAATACAATGTTTGATATACTCGACAAAACTATAACATTTTTATAAAAATAAACCGATCTCAAAGTTTGTGAGTCTCATATATTACCCAAGTTTTATTATAATCGGTTACCGGAATTTATTAGAGGTGGATTATTTTCAAATTGAAATGGGACCAAGACTGAGGTGCCCTCTTTCTAACAAAAAACATCGCGTAACATATACAAAAAATTGAGAACCTCCTCCTTTTTCGAAGTCGGTTAAAAATATGCAAAAATAAATTGCTCAAAATACCAAAAGTGTCTTTGTCTGCGGCCCGGGGTTGTTTCAAACATTCCGCTTCTAAAATTTGGAATGACCTATCTGCTGCAAACACTGCCAACTTTTAAACACAAATGTTTTCTGTGACTGTTTGAAAGCTATCTCGGGACGCAGGCTTTAAGAAGTAGCTTATGTTCGTATATCAGTTCTGTGTTAGTCTGGTATTATGCTATTGAAATAACTTTTTATTACTAAAATAGATTTTTTTCTTTGTCTAATTTTTGCTTATGTCAAATTTTAGTCACTTATTTATTATTTTTGTTTTGTACGTAGCATGTAACATATGTATTGTTATTTGTATATTGTTTTTGTGTTATTATTGTATAATTGTGGTGTTCCATATTATGACGGGCCAAGACAGAATGACAGCGAGGGTTATGTAAACAGCATAGTCCTCAGAGGCTGAGTCATGGACCCTTTTGACATGCTTTTATTTTTTTTATTTTTTTTTGTATGCTTCTTTTTTAGTTTTTTTAATTTATTTTTATAATTGTTTTGTTTGAAATTTATGCATGTCAAATAAAGCCTATTTTAATTTATTTTTTTATTATAAATATTAGTAACTTGTCAGCCGTGTCATTTCAGCTTAAGATTCCCTAAAGCCTTTATAGTTAAATGTATTCGTAGCGTCTTTTTCACAAACCGCATCCCATAAATTATTCCTCAACAGGATGCAGTAAAGAATTACTTAAGAGCATCAAGCAACGCAGTCGTTATAAAACCGCCTTGCGAAACCTGTTCCAGCGGAAGAATTCAACCAGTGTCTTCCATAAAAGTATCGGGCCAGTATAAGACACTGTGGTATCCTGTTTTGTGTTATTTTTAAAATTAATTTTATGCAACTTCGTGGGAAATTACTTCAAAACAGGAATGTATTTTAGATATGCTGTTGCTACTTGTTTATCTATTTCTGCCGCCAAGCAGTAATGTGAGCATTACTGCGTTCCGGTTTAAAAGGGTAAGAGTGCTGGTGAAATTACAGGCACACGGGACTTGTCAACTTATGTCTCAGGGTGACGGACACAGTGGCAGTGCCCTTAAGATCTTTGTGATTAAAAGCTCTAAGTGACACTGCAACTGTTATAGATAGGCGTGTCTCTTACCACCAGGTGCACGACTTGTTCGTCCCGTCACTTGGTATTATAAAATAATCTAAGTACAATCAGTAGTTGGCCCATCTACATTTCAGTGCAAACGAGAGTTGATATTTATAAGAGCTGTATCGCTAATGTGTTACCAGGAATATATGGCCCTTATTTCGTCTCTATTTCTGGTTATATACTCGATGGTACCAAAGCTCTAATTTAAGCGTGTCCACCTGTTACATTGTAACTTTTGGGAATGTAACAAAGTTATAATTATTAATACAAAGATCGAACACTCAGAAAAAACACTCAGAAAAAATTCCTTCGATCCGATCGGATTCGAACCGACGTCTTCTTGCATACCGTGCCAGACGCTATACCAACTAAGCCACGGAACGAACCAACGGACCTCACGAATTTTTCTATGTGCTTGCGTCGTGTCTTTGTACTTGGTCTTTCAACAACTTTTTTGTCGTTTTAGGAGTAATTTCACAAAAAATTATTGAATATCAATTCAATAAAAATTTCATTAATACAAACAGAATACTAAAATACCGACCTCAAAAGTCATTCGTCCCCTAGTTTGCCACCCTTGGCGGTGGAATATTTCTTGACATTTAAATGGAATTACTACTAAGGTACTGGTTCCAACAAAAAAAGAATCATCAAAATCGGTATACAAATGCCGGTGTCACCGCGCAACATACACGTATAAAAAAACATACAGCCGAATTAAGAACCTGCTCCTTTTTTGAAGCCGGTTAAAAAATTTAAATACTAAAATGTACTAAACTCAAGTTTGGGAAATAAAATGCGCACAAATGACAAGTTTCTTACATTGATGACGACTTCTTTGGCCCGATAGTTTGCACTGTGGGCATCGGATGAGTAGGTCCCGTGTTCGTTTCCCAGTAGAACCAATTTAGGAAATGAACTTTTCTAAATTAGTTCTGGTCTAGGTGTTCTGTGAATTGCCCCAGAGTGAATTCCGTTAGTGTGGTAGTCATAAAGGGAATTGCTTAATTTGAGACCCGGTGTGGTAGAAATAGTATACTTATGATCCTATAAAAGTAAATTAGATGCAAAGTGTACGTACAAAAAGCTACAAATTGCTCGCCAATTCATATGGAATGACACTTGGTAGGTATTTATACTATTTTTCTAATAGGTACAGGACACGCCTATCCATAGCAGTTGCACTGTTTCTCAGAGCTTTAAATTGCAAACATCTTTGGGACTCTGTCCCTACGCCCATCACTCTGAGACATAAGTTAACAAGTCCCATGTGCCTGTAATTTCACCAGCACGCTTACCCTTCCAAATCGGAACGCAGTAATATTAACATTACTGTTTGGCGGCAGAAATAGGTAAGGTGGCAGTACTACCTTGGACGAACGCTTTCACAAGGAGCTCTACTACTACTAAATATGTATATAAGCCCTTTTGGGGTAAGTGGATGTTTTAAATAGTGGACATTAATCTATTATCTGAATCACGTATATTTGTTTTTTTTCAAACACTTCGGACTCTTTACAAACACCTTGCCAGCTGTGACCACGAGACCTGTAAAGAGTGGAAACTTACTCGAAAACAGTCATCGGAGACACTGTAGACGCCAACGTGCCTGTCGGATAATCCAGTCATATAAGCCTGGTCCATCTTCAGAGCTGTCAGATTCAACCCGTTATGCTCCTCCATTCCAGGGTCTTCCAGCCACGTTCGCACCACATCCTTATACCACTGCCAAGTATCATTACGGGCGTCAGTGTCGTTGACATCAACGACATCATTAATAAACACTGTTGATTCATTCATGATTATGAAAACAATCACTGCACCACAAAAAAACTATCGTGTTCGTCGTTCGAAATCTGTACTCGATAAAAAATTAACTAATATTGCGCTCGAACATTTTAAAGTGTCTTGTTTATTTATACGCTTAACATTGGCGACGCGTGCGTGCTATCGGGTGTCTCAGAGTGTTACTGCCTTGGCGGCAAAGCTGGCCTCGCGCGGATCCATCGTCGCTGAGACAAGTAAATAATTGGCTTTCTATCTGGAAAAATGTTGACAATCAGAAGAAAGTCTGTTGTTAATTTTCCCGCATAGTTGTCAGGCATTTACGCGGTTGGTTTGATGAAATAAGTGAAAGTACAATCAAGACACACTGACCGTCTATTTTGATCAGAATTCTGTAATAAATTGCGATATACCTTTCCATGACCCTGAGTTTATTCTTGAACTTTTCTAAGAATACTTGTGTGACACTAGTCAATGAACATCGCGGTTGTAGAATACCAAAATATGATTATTATAAAAAAAAATATATAAATTTAAGAAAGTAATATACATAATAATATGGTGGACACTACCGCCCTTAGAGATCCCGGAGTGTTTGTTCTATACTTTTGTTGTTAAACTACTCCACTAGTTTATTATAATTATTAATACTAAGATCAAATGACTAATTTTCCGTCTTTATTAACCGACTACAAAAAAGTAGTAAGTTCTCAATTCGACGGCATTTGTTATATGTATGTTACGCGATAACGCCGGCCGTTTGTTAACCGATTTTCATGATTCTTTTTTTGTTGAAAAGAGGGTACCTCAGTATTGGTCCCATTTAAATTTGAAGAAAATATTCCACCTTTAAGTGTGGCAAACTAGGGGATGAATCCGGTTTCGCGCACTTTCCGGTAATCGATTCCAATAAAACTTGGCACATAGATGTCATTCCACGAACTTTTGAGATCGGGTTTTTTTTGAAATTACGTTATTAACATACGATCTGGGACCAGCGAAACGAGGTCAACAGCCCCCTCTAATCGCTTTTTTATATCTTATTTAGTTTCAGATTTATTGGGAAGCAAAATCAGCTTCATTTTTCAAAGAACAATTACTAGAAAGCCAATATCTAGAAAGGTACCAAAATGCAAACGCGTTTTCTATGACAAGGGCCCTAAAATTTATGTAACTAGTAAATTACATTACTACACTAGTGTATTTAGAAGAAAAGATTTGTAATTTTGAAAGAAAATACATTTATTTGTTTACCACAATGACACCACAAAAGACAAAAGACAAAAAAAGAGAAATCGGAACAAAACAGAACTAAAACAAAACACGATCAAAACATTCAACGTAAAACAAATATATAATTACGAAACAAAAACACAAACAAACACAAAATAAAAATGTATATACAAAAATTAGATAAAATTAAAACATGAACTATTCACACAAATAATAAAAAGAAGACTAAATATTGAGATACCTTGTGTGGTGCCAGCCGCGGTAACAAAAGGTGACCCTTTTGTTACTTTGAAACTCAGTATTTGCTGGAAAACGCAACGCGTTTATATTTATATATCACACTGGGAATACAAAATGTGTTAACTCAAAAAGTGTATTTCTTTAGAATCGATGAAAAACGAATTAATTTATAATAATAATTCCCGTGAAAGAGTATTGAAATTTATGTAAAGTGTAAGGTTTATTAGAGACTACTAAACAATATCCTACTTGCCAATTATATTTAAAAACAGAATATAAAGCATAGATTCTTATTTTTTAGTAAAGACTGGTTTGTCCTAGGTCTTTTTTCTTTATTTTTTTGCGGCAGAAATAGGTAAGGTGGCAATATTTCCCTGGACGAACTCTTTCAAAAAGATCTAGCTCTACTGGTACTAAATATAAGTTAAGTAGTCATCTTTTAATTGTTTCTTACAATATTTTAACAACGATTTTATTGACGTGTAGAAAATCAAAGTTTACGTTCTGAAATGGTATAATCTTGAATTTCACGAATTTTGAGTTACAACACTATTGTAATAGCAGCGCGATATATGTATAATTTTAATAATAATAATGTGTTCGACTGCCATACCAATTAAGTGGTCTAAAACTGGGTGCTCCTTGTATTACCAGTACCGTTGCAACGAAACTCTCTCCGGGTCACTACCCAAAAAATTCCGACTAGACACAGTGTAGAAAAGTTCATTTTTAACGTCCACAGGGCAAACAGTTGATCCACAAAGTCCGTCAGTCAAAAATAAATGTTTATAATTTTTCAGTTTATTGAATGTCACAATGTTTGACCACCAAGATATTCAATTATTTTTGTGAAATTACTCCACTAGTTTAAAATGCGAACCAAAGTCTTCTAGCAAACCGTGCCAGACGCTACACCAACTAAGCCGTGGAACGGACAAGCGGACTTACGAATTTTTCCATAGTGTATGTGAGAAATTTATGAAAGCTTTTCTTCACTCACCTAGGTACGTTTACAGCTACCAGCAGTTGCCTAAATATAATTTAAAAAATAAATATTAAATTTAATTATTATTTTCTTAATTTATTATTATCATTCAGTGATTGCATTGGGAGGTTTTATCTAATTTATATATTTTTTATTTATTTTTATATATGTACTTTTCCATGACATTTCCTATCTCAAATCTCTGTCAAGGTGGTATACAAATCGTTTCCATGTAAGTCATAAAGACAGATAACAGGAAAAATAGTAGACGCTATCGAAGCTCTTATGTGATAAAGTATTACATATCCATATTACATTGATCGTGGGCCAAATGAATTCAGTTTCTTTTCTTGGACCAATATCGACAGTACTGCATACGGGCCTCTAAGTAGAGTGTTCTAGGCCATAGCCCGCTACTCTGAAACTATACGGGTTAAATGCCTATCTTCAACGTTTTTTTTCGTAATTACTTAACATTTTATTGTAACACAAAAATATATGATAGGTATTAAAATATTCGTATACAAAGACGAGCTTATGAGATCATAAAGGGCTTTCTTCCAACTAATCTTTGACTAAGTGGGAGGAAAGTTGACAATAAAAATAAATTAATAAAAAAATGAATAGGAAATGAAACCATTTTTCAGGATTTAAATCGCGTAAATTTGTTTTTTCAAACAAACCGACTTTTCAGTAGGTATTTCCTCTAATGAAAAATCCCAAGCAGACATAAGACTGCAGTACTAATTAATATGTTTTAATTTATTC